TGCTGCTGGCCTGGGCCGTGCACGCGGCGGGCATGGGCAAGCGCGCCCTGCTGTGCGTGCTGACGGCGCTCATGGTGCTGCAGCTCTGCTGGATGCTCTGGTACGTGGGCCGCAGCGCCGCGCAGCGCAGCCTCATCCGGCCCAAGGACACGCACGCCGGCGCGCGCTGGCTCCGCGGTGAGTCTGCCCCGCGCGCCCCTGCGCCCTTCTTCCCCGACTGCTTTCTCCCGGAACCCTTCTCCTTCATGCCTCGCACGCTCGCCCTGGGCCGGCCATCGGGAGCACTGCCCCCGTGGAGCAGCTCTGATGCCTGGCCACCTGAGCTCGGCAGAGAAGACCCGCTCCACAGGCTCCCCTAAGCGAGGCCAGGACGCCTCCCATCTGGGGGGTTTGAGCCACCAACGTTCTGAGCAGTAGTTTCGCCAAACCGTTTGTGGCCCACCCAGGGAACTCCAAACTCCCTGCCTCAGAGCGACCCCTCTGAGGGTTTCTGAGGCTGTCACTGTTTACAGGAGTAGAAAGCCCAGTCTTTCTCCCGAGGAGCTGCTGGTGGTTTCGAACTGCTGACCATGCAGACTGCAGTCCCTTGTGTAACCACTGCACACCACCAGGGCTCCCTGGCCCACCCTCCATTAGACCTGCAGTCTGTGAGCAATCGTGAGGTGCCCACGGCTCGGTTCTGGCCCATAGCCACCCCAGGTACCCCAGAAAGAACACCCCCCCTGCTCCGCGCCATCCTCACGACTAGCTATGGTGGCAGCCACTGCGTCTATCCATCTCACTGGGGGCCTTCCTCTTGTTCCCTGCCCATCGCTCGAGTTGGCCAGAGGTGATGTGCTTCTCCAGGGCATGGTCTCTCCCTGATGCCATGTCCAAAGGAGCCCACTGAACTGCGGCTGCTACTGTGCACTGATGTCCAGTCCATTCCCACCCGTAGCGACCGTGTGCACAGCGGAAGGAAACACTGCCCAGTCCTGCGCCAACCGCCTGCTTCATGAGGGTTCTTATGTTGGAGGCCATGGTGGCCGCTGCCTTGGCAGTAGCCCATCCCATGGAGGGCCTGCCTCTGGGCTTTTTTGGCGGTCCGTCCGTGGTACTTTCTATAGCATTTGCCAGTGACATCATTCCAAGGCATTGATTCTTTGTTGGTTGGACTTCCTTCTTCGCTGCCCAACGTCCACACGCACAGGAGGAGACGGGAAATACCCTAGCGTGAATTACAGATACGCAAACCCGCTCACACCTTTCTGGGGCATAAATCCTATCCCACCCCCCACCCCCAGCCTGACCTCGAGATGAACCCAGGGCTCAGCATCTTGGCATTCAAGGCCTGCTAAGATCTGGCCCCAGGGGCCTCTCTGGTTTTGTCCCCTGTCCTTTGTCCCCACTCTGGGCTCCTGTCATTTCTATCAAAGACTTTCTGTTTTCCTCACAGCCTTTCTTGCCGCCACTTCTTTGCCTAGACTGGTCCTTTCTCTTGGGATGCCTTTCCCACCCACCTGCCTACTGTGTTCTCAAGCCCCTTTAGCATCATCTCCCAGGAAAAACCTTTCCCACCCCTACCCCCTTGAGACACGGACAGCACGCCCTCTGCCCTTGATCTTCTCCATGGCGCATCTGCCACCTCCACCAGCCTTCAGGAGCTCTGTGATTCCAGGGCCAGGGTGCATCTCTTAGTCGGAAGGCTCCTTGGGGTCTGAAACAGGTGCCCACAGAATGCAGGGGGCATGGAGGGAGTAAGGAAGGGGTGAGTGCATGCTGGGGCAGGGCGAGTGTCAGCCCTGGCTGGGTGCTCTAGCACAGTCACGGAAAGATTGTCACCGGGCTCACCTGCCTCCTCGATTCTTGGAAGGGAGACAGACTGGAAGCTGGTCAAAGAGAGGAATTAATCGGGCTCCAGGAAGAAGGGAGCTGTCTGGGAGCCTCCGTGCCAGACGCACCCCACATCGCTCTTGGGTTTGCACAGGTAACCCCAATGCAAATCTTAGATGGGCATTATTATATCTTTGTTTGTCTTGCACAACCCTGGGCTGTTATTCCATTCCCCGCCCTTTCGAACCCGCATATCAACAGACAGACAGCAGGCTGCAAGATGTCGGGGGAGGTGGGGAGCTCAGGGGTGTCTGCATACAATCACTCTCCTCCTCACCATCCCTTCAAAGATCTGGTCCAGACACCCCCTTCTCCAGGCACCCGGCAGGAATGACTCCTCCTCCCCTGGGTGGCCCTCAGCTCTCTGGGTCCTTGTTAGTTTCTGCCAGGTGGAGGACCCTGTGTGTTAGGCTGGGTGGTCTAGAGAAACAAATCCAGTCACACTCAGATGTGTACGAAAGAGCTTGATATCCACAAGTCATCTTATAGCTAAAGAAGACATCCAAGCCCAGTCCAACTCAGGTCCCCAAGTCCTATGTAAGCGGTGCAGGGTGGTGACACAGAAAAGGGACCAGAAGCAAGAAGATCACAGACCAGTGGGCACAGAGCTGCATGGATCCCAGGTCTGTGGGAACATGCCAGGGCGCCGGCAGTTCCCAGGATCTGGGGCTACCCTCCGAGGCAGGCAGAGCTCCCGCAGGCTGGAAGGCAGAGGGGCAGAGAGAGAAAGAGGGCAGGGGAGTCTCTAGACTTCCTTAGGCTCAGCGACTGGGTCCAGTCTTAGACAATCGGACCCACCTCCAAGGTGGCCCAGATTCCAGTTCTGAACGTTGTTGGCTTAGGAAAGTGTATGGCTGATGCTTGCTAAAGTAGGTCAGCGAGCGAGCGAGAGGGAGGGCGAACCTCGATGAGATGGGTTGACACAAGGACCTCAGCCGTGGGCTCCCACCTAACCCTGCTGAGGAGGGTGTCGGACCAGGCAGTATTCCATTCTGTTGTACGTACGGCGTGTTATGCGCCAGGGCCCACCCGGATGGCAGCTAACCATAGCCACAACCCCATGGAGGGCTGCTGTGAGTTCAATTGGACTCTGCTGCCAAGGTTCTGTTTTGTTGGGCGATGCCTATGGATGGCAGGGAGCCTGCTTCTCGACGTCATTGCGTCCGTTCATTCTGCGTGCAACCAGCTCAAACCCTGCCTGGTCCTGTGCCAGCCAGACAATCGTTCCGATGGTTGAGGCCACTGTTTCAGCCACTGTTTCAGCCATCTATCTCCATTGCGTCGGGGGCCTTCTTCTCCTTTGCTGCCCTGCGACGTCACCAAGGATGACGTCCTTCTCTGGAGACTGGTGAGATGAAACCTCACCGTCCTGGCTTCTAAGGAGCACTCTGGTGTAAATCCTCCCCACCCCACCCTCTCTTCCCCTCCTTCCGGCTCTCCTTCCCTTTTTAACATTTCAAAATCCGGCCTCTGCCACAGGAGCGCATCTTCTGGGCTCACACAGCTTCTGGATGCCATCAGTCACAGCCCCTCTCTCGGATGGCAGAGTCTGATGTCTGTCCCCGATGGCAGAGTCTGAGAGCTTCTCAAGGGTAGGGACCAAATCTGGCTTCTCTACCCACCTCCTAGAAGGGCTGGCACCACATGGCTCTTGTAGAAGGTCCCTGGCTCTCCCTAGGGTCCCCGTTTCCTGGGGGCTTGTAACACAATGCCACAGAGTCGGTGGCTCGGAATACAGGGAAGTTACCGGCTCCATGTTCTGAGAGCCAATGGTCTGAGTTCAGGAGGTCCGCTGGGCCACACCCTGTCTGAAGCCTCCAGGGGAAGATCCTTTGCATCCCTTCCTGTTTCCGCTCCAGGCATTCTGTGCTGCAGTGCTCCATCTCCGCGTGGCCCTTCCCCTCCGCGTCTCTTCTCTGTGTAAGGACACCAGCCAGGATCAGGACTCAGGGAGGGTCAGGCATCGATCGCCCTGTGAAGTGGTTTCGGCTCACCGGCTGCTCCGTGGGAGAAGGATGAGGCCAGCTGCTCCGAGAGCCACAGTCCCAGCACCCCATGGGACTGTTCTGCTCTGTCCATACATTGGAATCCAGTATGATGGCAGTGGGTTTTTGGGTGTTAGGCACTCAAGTAGGATAGAATAAATGAAGATAGATAAAGAACACAGATAACATATAATCTTCACCCCCTCCCCCAAAAAAACCCCAAACAACAAAAAAACCCCACTACCATGAAGTCAATTCCAATTCCTTGTGGCCTGATAGGACAGAGTAGAACCACCCCTTTGGATTCCAGAGACTGGGAATTTTCATAGGAGCAGGCAGCCTGGTCTTTCTCCTTAGAGCTGCTGGTGGATTTGTACCCTGACTGCTGTCAGCAGCCCAGCATGTAACCCGCTGTGTGCCAGGCCTCCGGAGGACCTACTGGTAAACCGGTATTGGTCAAGTCCCTGTCCACGCCCATGGACTGTGCGTGTCAGAGCAGAGCTGTGCTGCACCGGGCTTTCAGAGGCGGACTTCTTGGCAATGGCATGCCAGCCTTGCTTCTGAGGTGCCTCTGGGGTGGACTTGAGCTATGAGGGTGAGTTCCTTTCCAGACCTGAAGAATGATGACTAGGGGCCATGGTCTTGGGGTTCTACCTCTCTCTTATCTGACCAGTTAGCTCGGGCTCTGTTGTGACTCCGAGTTTTCTTCCACATTGTCTTCCCACTCTGTCTAGGATCTCATGGGGTGCCTTTCAGAGCAGTTGGTAGTGGGAGTCAGGCACCATCTTGCTTGTCTGGTCTCAGGGACACAGAGACTGATACTCACTTGGGTCCTTAGTCCATTGGATGGTTTCATTTTTTCCCCCTTCGTTGTCTTCATTGTTTTCTTCACTCAGACAGAGTGAAGACATGTTTTCCTTCAGACGGAGAGAGACAATAGTTCCACCTTCAGTGGATGGCTGTTCATGAGCTTTTAAGACCCCACTTGCTATATGGTGTTGCCTTTTCTTTTTAAAGGAAGGACCATCTATGTGACTATCCACCCACCCACCTACCCATCCTTATATACCCATTCACTCTTCCAATCTTTGCACAGGGTTGTAAAGTTAATGACGTCTATGTTTTCCTGTCTGCTTCCTCTTCCCAATGTTGAAGGCTCTGTTGCATTTCATGGGCTAAAGCCCTCAGTCTAACATCAGCAGGTGAGTTCTGGGGATGATGCTTTCCCATCTCCTTCGTTCTTTGCTCCCCTCCCCCTTCTTCAGAGCCCTTTCCTGGCCGCCATCCACCTCAGCCTCTTTCCCTGCCTGAGCCTCCCTGAGACGTTTGTATCTGTTTAGCATTCTCTTTGTTTGCTTCTGGCTCCCCCACAGCCACGATGTGAAACTCCGCATAGAAAAGAGACTTGCTGGGATTGACCTGGATCTCCACAGTTCCCGGGAGAGTTCTTCGTCTCGAGTTGCTGGTGCTCCCTCAGCAGTTGTGCAGTAGTTTGCAGGCGGCACCTCTTCAGGCAGCTCCGCTGGGAATGGGGTGTGGGGGCTGTGACTGCTCGTTCGCTCTCTTCTGACTTCCCGTGCTGCCGAGGACAAGCAGGGTGGCAACTCATCACTCTCTTTTGTGCACACCCAACTGATGCAATCTTGTGCTGGCGTATTTTTGTTTCGCCAACAGTCTTGTTTCTTGTTTGTTCATCTCCGAGTCCCTGGCACAATGTCGTGTGCATAATAGGAGTCCCCAAAGTATTCGTTGTATAAATAAGCGGATGGAGGAACCTGTGAGTGGAGAGACAGATGGGCGAAGGGCGGCATGTGCAGAGTGTGAGAAGGCATGGTGTCGCTGTTGCACAACCAGGCAGGACACTGCCCGCCCCGTGCCAGCCTCACAGTCGTAGCTACGAGTGAGCCCGTTGTGGCAGCCACGGTGGCAATTCATCTCAGCCAGGGGCTTCCTCTTTTTCTCCGATCCTCTCCCTCACCAAGCATGGTGTCCTTCTCCAGGGACGGGTCCCTCCTGACAGCCTGTGCCAGGTTGACAAATCTCTTGCCATCCTTGCCTCTAAGGAGCACTCTGACCATCCTCCTTCCAAGACAGACTTGCTCACTGTTCTGGAAAGCCACGCATAGTCAATGCTCTTAGCCAACGTCGTGATTCACGGGCACCCGTTCCTCAGGTTTTGTCCTCCTGATTCACGGTTCAGTTTTGGCAGGTGATGGAAAGCACCATGGCTTGGGTCAAATGCACCTCCGTGTTCAAAGTGACATCTTGGCACAGCCAGGCCCTGCTCTGCTAGCCAGGTCCCTTCAGCCCCAGGCGTGTGCTCTTCCCACGGAGTTTCCAAAGCTGGCATCCATATGCATGCAGGAAGCCTCATCTTTCTTCCAAAGAGCAGCTGGCGGGTGCCCACCGCTGACCTTGAGGTCAGCAGTCGGATGCTTTCATCACTGCCCACTGTGCCCCATCACCAGGATGATCACAAACCAAGACAAACCCCATCTCCAAACGGGACCACATCCGTCGGGGGCTCCATTTGCGTTCAGTTTCATGTTTGCCAAGAATCTCTGAAGCCCCCTCGCATTCCCGAGACCCAACCTGGCCCACACCAGCTCCCCAGCGGGCACTCTCCTGTGTGCCACTGACTCCCGACGGGTAGCATTTGTCGGACCAGCTCATCTCCCCGGCCAGGGGTGGATCGCCGCTCTCAGCTAGGCTCTGAGTCACCGGGGTCTTCCCGGGATGTACAGCGCACCGTGACTTGGACTGGTTTCCACAGGCTGTGAGCGGCGGAGAATGAGAGTGGCGGAGGTGATGGGTGGATTTCCCTTGGGGTTTCTTTGGGCTGTCACGGTAGAGCTTAGGGTGGGGGCTCACACCCCTTCGTGCCTGTCACCCACCATCCATTTCCCTCCTGTCCTTGGGGGTCAGCTCAAGAGTGGCTGGCTGAGTTAGTCCCAGAGGGGTGTTAGAGACCCAGATGGTGGTAACGGGCCCTGAGGAGGGCCTGTTTTCCCACTTTATATGTTCATCACAAGTCCCTTTTTAAAATTGATCTCGTGTTTATTTTTATTTTATTTATTTAAACGGTTTCATTGGGACATCATCCATGTATCGTATAATCCAGTAGCTCAAGCATATCAAGGGGAGGTGTATGATCACCACACCATCAGGTCTAGAACACTGTCTTAGTTCGTGTACTCCTGGCTCCGAACTCCCCAGTTCCCACCAGCCTCCCCGGCACTTCTCCCAGGAACCGATCTTCTGGTTTCTGCCTCTAGACGTTCACCACTCCTGGATTTCCTATCCCAAAAAACACACAGAACCCCCAAAACACTGATCACAAAATAAAAACAGAGCAAAATAAAATTTCCTTTGGGAAAGAACATCGAAGACGTTACAGCTGGGACAGTTATTAAACACGAGAGCGAGTATTAAAACCAGAACTTTCAAATGGGCCTAAGGGAGCGCACTGATGAGGTGCTGCCTTTTGAAAGCCTGGGCGTTTCTCTCCACTTTGTCCCCATAATGTTGGCTTCCTTTTCCTTTCCAGCTAGACCCATTAGGAGAGACCCCGGTAGTGTGGCGGGTTACATGCTGGGCTGCTAACCACAAGGCGGGCGGTTCAAACCCACCAGCCGCTCCTCTGAAGAAACCTGAGGCTTTCCTCGCCCGTAAGGGTTTCATCGTCTTGGAAACCCTAGAGAACGGGACTGGCCGTCCTGTGAGGTCACAGTGGGTCGGGATGGACGCGATGATGGCAGTGGGTTTGGTGAAAACCTTCAGGGCCCATGGTGGCAGAGTGGTTAGGGTCAGTCTGCGAACCCCTCAGCCACTGGGAGGGAGAAAGAGGAGGCCATTTCCCTCCGTGGAGGGGACCACCCTGGAAACCCTACAGGGCTCTATTCTCCGGGGTCACTGGGCTCGGCGGTAGTGGGTGTGCGTGCCGATTGGTCAAAGCCAGGTCAGTTCGAGCGCTGTCCTCGTCCACTTGATCTCGGGCCCTTTCTCTGGCCCACGGTTAGAGTCAGGAGCGTCCAGTTGGAAGTCACCCGTGCACCACAGAAGGCCACACCACCCGCCCTGCGCCATCCTCACCGTTGTTATGTCTGGCCCATTGTCGCGGCCACTGCATGTCCATCCCTCTTGTCTAGGGTCTCCCTCTCTTTCCTGTCCTCTTGACTTGACCAGACACGACGTCCTTCTCCAGGGGCTGGTCTCTCCTGACAACACATGTCCAAAGTAGGCGAGAAGAAGTCTCCCCAGCCTTGCCTCTAAAGAGCACTCTGGCCGTACTTCTTCCAAGACAGACTTGTCTGCCCTTTCGGCAGTCCATGGTACTTTCAACATTCTTCTCTGGCACCACCGTTCAAACATCCCTTCTTCTCCGGGCTTCCTGATTCCGTGTCCAACTTTCCTGTGTGTAAGAGGCGACGGAAAGCACCATGGCTTGGGCCCGGCGCACCTCGGTCCTCAGAGGAACATCCCGGCTCTTCGATACTCTATAGAGGTCTTGCGCAGCAGAAATTTTGAGCAGGAGACCGCGACCCTCAGATGGGTTTATTCCGCACAAGGGCGTGTGGGGCTTCCCCGAGCCCTTGTGGCCTGTGTGTCGTGAGTTACATGAGTACGACCGGGAGCTTGGCAGGATGGTGGGCACCTGCCGTCCGGGGTCCAGAGTCTCCGGCTAGCAGTGTCATACAGGGGTCGGTGACCCCGCAGGGCCGCCGTTGCCTGTACCCCGTGTATGTTTCTCCCCGTGCAGGCAGCATCACCCTGTTCGCCGTCATCACCATCGTCCTGGGGTGCCTTAAGATCGGGTACTTCGTGGGATTCTCCGAGTGCTTGTCAGTCACCGAAGGGGTGTTTCCTGTCACCCACGCAGTGCACACCTTCCTGCAGGTAAAGTGCACGGGCTTTCCCTCTGTTACCCTGGTTGGTCCTGTCCGCTGCCTGCCGGGCGAAAACTTCTGCCCCAGGGTCATGGCTGTGGGAAACCCCGAGGGGTGCTGCTCTACTCTGAATCTCTCTGGGGCGGGGTGGGGGAGAGCTCCAGGTCGACAGAGACTCCACGGCAGTGGATTTAGCTCCTTTCTTTCTTTTTCCAAACTGCAGAGGAAGGAAGCTCACCCCATGGAGTGGATTCAAATTAGAGAGACTGTAGGATGGGGTGGAGCTGCCCCCTGTGGGCTTGTGAGGCTGTGAGTCATTATGGGGCTAGAACTCACGCTCGCTCGCTCACTCACTCACTGCCATCGAGTCGATGCTGACTCAGCCACCCTACAGGACAGGGGAGAGCTGCTCCTGTTTCTGAAGCTGCCATTCTTCACCGGAGTAGGAAGCCTCGACTTCCTTCTACGGAGCAGCTGGTGGTTTTGAACCACTGACCTTGCAGTTTGCAACCCAGCGTGTAACCCCGCCATGCCAGCTCGGCTCCTCTTTAGTTTCTGGTAGGAAGGGCCCTGTGTGGTACAGAGGGTTGGTGTGCTCGGCCGATAACAGGTTGGAGGCCGAGTCTACTCAGAGGTAGCTCAGAAGAAAGTCCGGGCCGTCTGTGTCTGGGAAAGCGGCCACTGAAAAGGCGAGGGAGCACCCTCTTCTCTGACAAACACACGCACCCTCGGGTGAGGGGGAGCTGACCTGCCAGCAGCCGGCCGTCCCCGGGGAGTGGGTCCCAGGGTGTGTGGACGCTGCTAGTATGCTGTCTTGAACTTGTAAGATCCTGCCACATCAAGACCTCTAGCAAGCAGGGGTGAACGTAAGGCCCTCTCTGAAGCCTGGCGCCAGGCTTCATTAAAGACGTCTCCCAGTAGCAAAGGAGATGGTGAGACCCCCTTGGTGGTGGCTTATATCACAAGGGAGCGCCAGGGTTCCCAGAAATGGCATAGGGGCGGGAATAGGATTCTGTGGGAAATGAAAAAATACGTATTGTGATAAAAAAAATACAACCACAAAAACAAAGTAGGTGGCCTTTCACTCTCAGATTTCAAAACCTATTCTGCAGCGTGGCGATCAAAACGCCTTGGTGTTGGGACAATAGATGTGTAGCCCGATGGATCAGAACGGAGAACCTAGGAATGCCAACAAGGACCTACAAACACCGGATCTCTGACGAAGGACTGAAAACACGTTAAGTCGGGAAGAGATAGTCTTTCCCATACATGGTGCTGGAACCTGGGCTCTCCACCTGCAGGAGAATGAATGGGACCTTCACCTCACACCACGCACAGAAAACGAACTCAAGATGGGCTAAAGACCTAGAACAGGGGTTCTCAACCTTCTTAATGCCGGGACCCTTTCATACAGTTCCTCATGTTGTGGTGACCCCCAAACCATAACACTATTATCATTGCTACTTCATCACTGGAACTTTGCTACTATTATGAATCGGGCGGTCCCTGTGAAAGGATCATTTGACCCCCAAAGGGGTCGTGACCCACAGGTTGAGAACCGGTGCCCTAGAACCTCAAAGATCAGCAATGAAACAAAACAAAACAAAAACGAGGGACAAATTTAAGGGTCCCGATACAAGGTCTGAGTATACTGCCAAATATAATGAAAAATGCCCACGCTCCAGAAGATAGAATAGAAGCCTGGGGCCTTCTAAAAATATGACATTTATGCACGTCAAAAGACTTCATTAAAAGAGTAAAAAGAGAGCCCACAGCTTGGGGAAAAAATGCTTATCAAAGATAGATCAGATAAAGGATCGATTTCAAAGCCCTAGAGAAAACAACACCTTAACAAGACAAACACAAGTAACCCAACCAAAAAATGGGCACTAAACATGAATGAAAAATTTAGGAAAGGTGACATCCAGGGGCCAACGATCATAAGAAGAAATGTTCCCATATCGAAACCATAAGAGAAATACTAATTAAAAGAAGGGTGAGCTACTCCCTCACACTGACACTCTGAGCAACGTTAAAAATGCTGGAGAGGATGTGGGGAGACTGGTGGGATTGTAGAACTGCACAACCACAGTCTGGTGCTTCCTTAAACAAACACAAATCTGATGAACCTGCACTCTCTCTACTTGGTATATACCCTAAAGAAACAAAGAATAAAACGTGCACGGACAATTGCACACCTATGTGTATTGCAACGGTTTCTTCCTTTTCTGTAGATCATTTTGTTGGGGGCTCTGACAGCTCTCGTTACAATGCATACATCCACTGTATCAGGCATGTTTGTACATAGGCTGCCCTAGTTCTCGTCTAGACAGCTACTTTCTATTGAGCCCTTGGGATCAGCTCCTCTCCCCACCCCCCACCCGTGACCCCTCGATAGATTGTTATTATTTTCATATCTCACACTGACCGCTGTCTCCCTTCCCCTCTGGTTTCTGTTGTTCCTCCCCCTGGAGGGCTTTGTGTGGTTATGTGTCCATCATTGTGATCGGTCCCCACT